GTTTTACTGCTCCCCAGTCACTTACTGCAGGAAGCGCCGTCCACGGGGTGCAGTAGGTCCCGCCGCTGCCACCAGTTGTTGCGGATTGTGGGGGAGTTAGGGCCCTGCACCCCTCTTCCCGAGATTCACTGTGACTCTCAACCAGCCAGTAAAGCAGAAGGTTTATTTAAGGACAGGAACACAGTCTCAAGCAGAGCGTGTTGGTACGACCAGACCCCCTCAATTAGGTCCCTCTGGGAGGTTCAGGGAGCTTAGACCCCAGCTTGGGGTTCCCTGCGTTGCACCACCCAGCCCCAACCGAAACTAAACTCAAAACTCCTTCCGCTGCTCCTCTCCTTTGTTCAGTCTCCCGGGCAGAAGGTGTTAATTCTCCCCACCCCCGTTCCTGGCTCAGGTTACAGCCCAGGTAGCTTCTTTCAAGGGAAGTTCCCCCTCCTCACTGCAATCCCCCTGCAACATTCCCAGGTCAAATCTGCCCTGCTCCCTGCTCCGTCACACCTCCGCGCAGGACTGTGCCCTGCATATAAACATCAAGGAGCTCAGGGCAGTATAGCTGGCATGTGTGGCCTTCCGCTCACACCTGGAGGGCAGAAAGGTCAGAGTTCTCACGGACAACATGGCCTGCATGTTCTATATCAGCAGGCAAGGTGGGGCCCACTCCTCTGCCCTCTGCCAGGAAGCCCTCAAGGTGTGGGACTTCTGCATAGCCCACAATATCACCCTGGAAGCCCACCACTTACCGGGTGTCTGGAACTCTCGGGTGGATCGGCAGAGCCGGGACTTCTCCTCTCAGTACGAGTGGTCACTACACCCAGAGGTGGTGCACAGGATTTTCCAAGAGTGGGGCACTCCCCAGGTGGACCTGTTCGTGACTTGGCAGAACCACCAGTGTCCCCGCTTCTGCTCCAGGGAGAGTTGGGCATGGGCGCCATCTCCGATGCCTTCCTTCTGTCCTGGTCAGACCAGCTTTTCTGTGCTTTTCCTCCGACCCCGCTGATCAGCAAGGTCTTAGAAAAGATAAAAATAGACAGGGCCCGGGTCCTCCTGATTGCCCCGGCATGGCCCAGGCAACATTGGTATGGGACTCTCACAAGCTTGGCAGTTGCCCCGCCGTGGCCGTTACCGTCCCGCCCAGACCTGCTCTTCCAGCACCAGGGCTGCCTCCTCCACCCCAACCTAGCGGCGCTCCACCTCACAGCCTGGCTGCACAATGGGTAGGCCAGGAGGAAAGGACGTGCTCGGAAGGGGTTCAGGGCGTCCTCCTGGAGAGCAGACGGCCCTCCACGTGCCGAGCCTACCTGGCGAAATGGTCTCGGTTTTCCCGGTGGGCCACGGATTTTGCCCGTGGTGGCTTTGATCCAGCTCATTCTAGACTATCTCCTTCACCTTAGAGCCCAGGGCCTGGCGCCCTCGTCTGTCGAGGTGCACTTGGCAGCCATATCGGCCTTCCACGCACTGGTGCAGGGCCACACAATGTTCTCCCATGCCATGACTGGCCAATTCCTTAAGGGTTTGGATCACCTCTTCCTGTACGGTAGGCCCCCAGTCCCGCAGTGGGACCTGCACTTGGTGCTGGCTCGGTTGATGGGTCCCCCATTTGAACTGCTAGCTACGTGCTCCTGGTCGCACCTCTCATGGACGGTAGCCTTCCTGGTGGCAATCACGTCTGCTGATTTTGAGGGCGCACTCGACTAGGGCTCAGGCCTCGTTGGCTGCATTTCTGGCCCATGTCCCCATCCAGGACATTTGCAGGGCTGCCACATGGTCTTCAGTTCACACGTTCACCTCGCATTGTGCGATCGTCTCCCAAACCAGGGAGGACGCCGGGTTTGGCAAGTCTGTGCTCCGTCCCGAGAGTCTGTGAGTCGACATTTGCTCCCCCCGTCGACAGGTGGTCCAAGCAGGCGCGCGTTTGGTGCGGTAGCCAGCCATGCTCACCTGGGAAGCCGGCAAGCAGGAAATGAGATTGAAAATTCCCAGGGCTTGCAAGGGGAGGAGCAGGTTGGCAGCAGGGCAGTGGAGTTCAAACTGCTGACCAGAGCGGCAGCATGGGAATTGTGGGACCAGGGCCGGCTCCAGGGTTTTGGCCTCCCCAAGCAGCCAAACAACAAAAAAACAAAACGAAACAAAACAAAAAAGCCGCGATCTGTGGCGGCAATTCGGCGGGAGGTCCTTCGCTCCGAGCGGGAGTGAGGGACCGGCGGCCGAATTGCCGCCGAATAGCCGGACGTGCCGCCCCTCTCCGGAGTGACCGCCCCAAGCACCTGCTTGCCAAGCTGGTGCCTGGAGCCGGCCCTGTGTGGGACACTTTCCGGAGGCCAATAAAATCAGGGAAAAAAGGCTTGGTGTCTACACTGGCTGTTTGTCGACAATAAAGGGAGGGGAAAAGACAAAGTCTCTTGCAGGGGTGGAAGTCTTTTGTCGCCAAAACTGGGTGGGTTTTTTTTGACAAAGTCCCATTGCAGTGTAGACGCTATCGCTGTTTTGTCGCCAAAAGGCAGATTTTGGCGACAAAACTTGCCAGTGTAGACAAGCCCCAAGTTCGGCTGTGTGAGTGAGAGATGCGTGGATGATGGAATCCGCCTCCCGCCCCAGCCCGTCCTGACAAAGTGAGAAGAGCCCACCCCAAAAGAGAAGAACAAAGATGCAATTGAAACAAGATCAAAGCCAGGACCGAGGCTGAAAGTCACATCTGCAATGGACGGGGGATCAATCACCGAACCCAGAGGCAGCGTGACACAACCAGACCCAGAGACTCTGGTTCAAACTAAAGCCTATAAAAAGGATGGGGGAGATGGGAGACTTTGGGTAACGTTCTGCTGACAACATCGAAGGGCGTCGGTGCGTCCGACAGAGACCGGCTCTTCCTCGTGCCCGGCGTTCCTGGCCAGTTACTGCCATGAGCTGCAAACCCCAGCTACGAACTCAAGCTATGTCCAGGACTCGTAACCGTACAGCAGCTGCAGAACATTGGATGTGTGTGTGTAGGTATTAGATATTAGCTACTGGTTATAAAATACATTGTGTTCTCCTAATGAACGTGGCCTATTGCCTTGTTCCCTGAAAAGAGCCTGTGAATTTTTATCAGCGTAATACTGCTGGTGGAGAATGCGTTGGGGAGCAGCATCGTCTCCACCATTATTTTAAAAACTGGGGTGCACACGCCAGCTTTAGTGAGCTGGCACTATAGGAAAACGATTGGAAACGTTCAGTTGATTAAGCACATAACCTCTGAAGGAAACGGGAGTTTAGGTCTGGATATTATTCCAATAGTGAAATTGCTCTTCTAGGAAATAGCGATTGATATTTGTCAATTCGGTTTTGTGTTGTGGTTGGTTGTTGCTCACAACTGATGGGAAAAATGTTTAAGAAAACACAGTCTAAAGATATCCTTAGAGACAAACAGGAAACGTTGCCTTTTGTACAGGAACCCACGCCCTTTAAACAAGTCTTACAAAGCTTTGGACGCAGCCTGTGGGCTGAAGGGGGCTGGGAGATGTATGCACTGTTTCAGATTTAGCGCCTAGGTTTGCACGGTATATAATCCCGTACCTGCCTACTCCGATCAGAGGGATTCAGCAGCAGTCTGGCTTTAGTGGGACACATGCAGGGACTTCTACTCCCGCTTGACATCCTGCCGAGGGGAGACTGCCTCCCTGCTTGAAAAACTCACTCCTATGGAGAAAGAGGCAGAAAGCTGGAAAGTGATAGCGACAGGGGTGCAAAGCCAGCTAGACCCCTCAGGGAGGCGATCAGGGAGGGCAAACAAAGAAAAACGGTTAGAGAAACAAGTTGGGGAAAATGAAAACACAGAAAAAGAAAATCGAGTTGCAGGGCATGATAAACAAGGACAAGGCAGGGCTCTCCCCGCTGATCACAGCCGAAGCGACTTGCTTATCAAACCCCTTACACAGAGGCTTGGATTCGAACCGCCGTAGCAGCGGTGCCGGCAGGAGAATGGGACTTTGGGTGGGGGACGCCCCGTGGGAATGTAGCGAGGGCTGGGAAAGAGAGAGACGGGGGAGCGATTCTGAGCCCCGGGGCCGGTTGCAGCCGTTACCAGAATTACCGTAACAGAAACGGGCACAGCTGCAGGGACTAGCACAGCCACTCCAACCGTCCCCGTAGCAGCAGCGGATCTCCCAGCGCTGGCACAAATGCTGGGACCCCTTAGCCGTGAACATTTCCCAAAACCGACTCTGCGTGCGCTACAATGGGCAAGCAGAGAACATGTAACAGGCCCTGGGCTTCACTCCTCATGCCAGTCCGTGCGGGCCCAGAATGACAGCGAGTCACTGAGCGAGTGAGAAGAGAAAATGGAAAATGAGACTTTCTTCCCCCTGTTTGCGAGCCTAGGGGAACAAATGGGTCACCACCATCCAATGCTGCAGGCGGCCAGCATGCTGCAGGAACCTAGTGAAGGCCCCGAAGGGGACCCCTCCCGCTGGGGATGAATGCGGGTCACGGCAGGCATCACCCCCGGAAACACCCACGGAGCACCCACAAGTATGCCTTAGGGACCGTGCTGCGAGCTCAGCGTGTGGGCACCTGACCACCCCGCTAGCACGACGGAGCGCCGAGATCTGGTCACACAGCTCCCCGCTCGCTCTGGCCCCGCACGCCCAAGAGAGGAAAGAGCTCTAGCAAATGGGCGCGGCAGGATGGGACTGGGGGCTTCCAAGGTCGCTACCGCGGATGAGGGAGTTATAAGCAAGGGGGGCATTGTTCATGTTCAGACCCCCGGCCTTCTCAAAAGAACCCCAATGGTTCCCAACGACATGCAGGTGGGGGTGTGACGAAGTGGGGGGGGGTTCTTGTTTTCTGTGGAGTTTCAATGGTTTGCATGCAGGGGGGGTGAGTCCGTGACAGGGGGACAGAATTCCTGGGAGTCCCAGATCCGCCGACTGGCTTGGCTGGCGGTAACGCGGCAGGGAGGTGATCGGGAGCACTGGGATGGAGCCCCAACCCGAGATTTAGTCCAAGAAGCCTAAAAACACAGGATAATCAGGGGTGTGTAACGAGCTGTGACAGGCCCAGAGCAGTGGGCTGCAGGAGTCTGGTCGAGGGCAAATATACTGGTCACTGGATGAGTAGTTTTCTGTTCCCTGAGTGACCAGAGCAGGGGCTGCACTAGAGTAATCAGGAACCTGCTAGAACCAGTTAAGGCAGGCAGGCTAATTAGGATACCTGGAGCCAATTAAGAAGCTGCTAGAATCAATGAAGGCAGGCTAATCAGGGCACCTGGGGTTTAAAAGGAGCTCACTTCAGTTTGTGGTGTGAGTGGGAGGAGCTGGGAGCAAGAGGTGCAAGGAGCTGAGAGTGAGAAGGTGTGCTGCTGGAGGACCGAGGAGCACAAGCGTTATCAGACACCAGGAGGAAGGTCCTGTGGTGAGAATAAGGAAGGTGTTTGGAGGAGGCCGTGGGGAAGTAGCCCAGGGAGTTGTAGCTGTCATGCAGCTGTTACAGGAGGCACTATAGACAGCTGCAGTCCACAGGGCCCTGCGTTGGAACCCGGAGTAGAGGGCGGGCCCGGGTTCCCCCCAAACCTCCCAATTGACCTGGCCTGTGGGTTCTTCCAGAGGGGAAGGTCTCAGGGCTGTTCCCCAAACCACAGGGTGAATCTGTGAGGAGACCAAATCCGCCGATAAGCGCAGGACCCACCAAGATAGAGGAGGATCTTTGTCACTGAGCGTAGCTGCAAGTGCCGCCCCGAGCAATCAGAACTCGGGGGGCCGCTGGACACGATATAGGGGCTCACAGGTAACACTTCATGGGATTCTGGGGGCGACCGGACATTTCTGTGCAGCAGGAGAATCACGCTCTACTCTGGCTTTAGCTGATCCCGGAGCCACCGTCTCTGATTAAAGCTGCCCACAGGCGGGGGAGAAGGTGAAGCGAGTGACGTTGAAGCGCGGCGGCGGGTTCGCCTCGCTCGGATCCGTGGCTGGGTCGCCCTGCGCGCAGGCTGGCCCCCCCCCCCCCCCCAGCCTGCCGGGGCTTGGGGGGGGGT